CCCAGCTTTCCCCCAGCCATGGGGATTTTGTGGCCCAGGGCAAGATCCTCACCTCCAGGAAATCCCTTTTGACTTCAGCTGCCTGTCCCTGGAAGACGTAGATCTTCTCCTGGTGCACCATCTGCAGTGGGGCCAGCGGTCTGTCCAGGGAGACAGTCACCTTCAGTGTGTCCTCTGCAGTCGCCTGTCCAGCCTCCACAGAGAAGCCCAGGGCGTCTTGGGGATTGCGGTTGCCATTGTGCTGATAGAGGACAGCCCCTTCCAGGAGATCTCTCTGGGAGAAAGCAGTGGCGGGCTGGCCTGCTCGGAGCAGCTGCCCCCAGCGGGGGCCTGTGGTCACGCGGTAGTGGACCTCCTCGCTGCTGCGGACGTCCACATTGGTGTCAAGGCCTAGCACGGATGTGTCAATAGTTCCTCGGCCTCCCTGGGGGACGACCAGACCGGAGTTGTTTGTGATCCGGAGGTAAGGTTCGGAGGCCTGGACCTCAAGCAGTGCTGTGGACTGGTGTTGGCCATCTGACACCTGGAGCTGGATCCAGCCTCGGTCAGCCCCTGAGTGGACAAACAGGATCCTCTTCTTCCTCAGATCTTCCTGGGTAAAGCGGTAGACAGGCCGGCTGGGGTCATCGGCAGCCACGATGCTGCCGAAGAGCAGATCCTTTCGGGTAAGCACCAGCTGGGCATCGGTGAAGCCCGAGTCAGCATCAGTGAAGGCCACATCATCTGTGGTCAGCAGCCGCCGCCCACCGCGAGCCACATGGAAGACACGGCTGACCGTCTGTACTGGGGCGTGGTCATTCACTGGCTGGATTGCCACACGGAAGACACCTCGCACCTCCTCCCAGGCCAGGCCGCCACTGCCTTCACCTTGGTGGATGGCCACAAAAGGGATGTCATCTTCTGTGGTCTCTGAATCATCATGCTGGTAGACCAGCCGGCCCAGGAGCAGATCATCATTGTTGAATGTCGTCACTGGCGTGGATTCCGACCCAGAGCCCCGCCTTGTCCCCTGCCACACCAGAGTGCCGTGGCGTGGTTTCTCGATGACCTCATATAGGTAGTTGGCACTGTTGAGGCTCCTGACAAACAGGTGGTCTTGGGAGATGGTGCCTCTGCCCCCCTCAGGCACAGAGAGGAGGACGTTGGTGAGGACCGGGGCATCGGGATCACCACCGATGCGGATTGGGTAGGTGTAGAGTGGGGAGAAATGCGGGGGGGCTGTGACATGGAAGAGAAACGAGTCTTCAGCTTCCTCAGAGACCCTGGCCGTGGCTCGGTAGGTCACGTGGCCCTTCTGAAGGTCTTCTTGAGTGAAACCTTGTTTATCTGTCAGTCTCATGCTGTGCAGCCGGAGGTTGCCCTTCCGGGGGGCCTGGACAATCTCATAGTGGAAAGAAGCAGGGCTGGGGCCCGATTCCTTGTCCAGAGTGGCCTCCAGCTGGTCTGTAGTGAGCACCTCCTGCCGGGTGTTATGGGTCAGCAGGGGCACGAGCCTTAGCATCCGGATGGCGGCCTTCTTGATGGTGACCAGGAAGGTGTTATTGGTCAGGGTCTTCTGTCCCACCTGCACCTCAAACGTCACCTTCTCGGCGGTGTCTTGGGTGTGGTGCTGGGGATCGGTGCTCAGGTAGCGCACCTGCCCCTGCTCGATGTCCCTCTGATAGAAGGAGCTGACGGACCTCCAGTCCCCCCCAGAAGCTCCATTGGCCCCCTGCTTCTGAATCTCCCCATAGAGCAGGGTCCCGGTAAGCCGGTACAAGATGCTCACATCCTGGTTCACTGCATTTGTCTCAGCCGACAGGTTGGCCGTCGAGATGGGCATGGAGGAACCCTGCGGCACAAAGAGTCCTGTGTTGTTCTGGATCTGGATGGTGGGCTGGATGGCCACCACGCGCAGCACAGCTACGGGGCTGGTGTCCATGCTATCAGTGACCCGGAACAAGAGGTCCTGGGCAGGGCCGCCCCTGTGGATGTAGGACAAGCCGCCTGCTTCCAGCTCCTGGCAGGAGAACTCAGCCACTCGCTCACCTGGATGGTCATTACGTTCCACTGTGCCACCTTCCAGGTGCTGGGTTCCAATGATCTGGAAGGTGAGGCTCTCACAGGCTGTGTCTGGGTCATAGGCTTGGAAAATTTCAGGCCCGAGGGCCTTTTGTGTGTGCTCAAGGATCACCATGAGGCTCCCATGTGGGAAGACCACCCGGGGAGGGTCATTCAAGGGATTTACCTGGATGGCTAGTATGTAGGTCTGGCCCTGGCGTAGGCACTGAGGCACAGTGCTCTGGGTCATCACCGTGACCTCTAGGACCAGCTGGTCCTCAGGGTACTCAGAGCCATCATGGATGAAACGGATCTTCCGATTGACCACGTCCAGGAGGGTGAACTTCTTCCGGGACTGAGCTCCTGGAATACTGAAATCCAGCTCTCCGTGCTGGGCTTCACGAGTCACACCGAACAGTACCTGGGACTGACGGATGCCTGCCTCACTCAGGTCCAGTGTGGGCTGCACATGCCTCCATTCAAGCCAGGCTGTGCCCCCCTCGGCCACTACCAGGGGGCTCAGGGTCAGCAACTTGGTGAAGTTGGCAAAGAGAGGTGGGAGGCCGGGCTCCAGTGTACAGGGTTCAGGCATTTCCAGCCCTGGCCAGGCTTCGGGTGCCAAGGTGGACGGCAGCTCATATACCTCATAGGCATCATCCTCATACTCGTCCTCAGGGATGCCGCAGCCCGCAGTGATGTCTCGGGTGACCAGTGCCCTCTGAAGTCCTTGTCTCTCCCCATTGACCATCAAGTCCTCCAGGCAGCCCACCAGGGACACGTTGGTGACTGCAGATGCCAGGCCCAGCCTGTGCTCCCTCAGACGGCGTGAGGCCTCTTCGTCCAGACCCCCAAGGAGCAGGCTTCCTTGGGGCTCCAAGGGGCTGTGGACACCACGGTTGGAGGTGCGAGTGGGGTATTGGTCCACGGAGATCTCTAGCATGTGCACATCCACGTGGATGCTGACCTCGTGGGGCTGCCCATCGGCTACCGAGACACTGTTGTGCAGCATGACGGCCCCGTGACCCTTCTCCACTATGGCTCGCAAGTGTCCGTCAAAGATCTCCAGGTAGATGAAGTCACCCTGTGGGCCCCCCGCCTGGTACGCCAGTGGTGCTCGCTTGACCCGTGTGGTCAGCGTGAACTCCAGAGTGCCCTCACCTCGCGTGCTCCAGGTAGGGAAGGTGGCCAGAGCGCGGGGCCCTGTGAAGCCCAGAGCCTCGTCTTCACTGGCTGAGAACTCTGTGGCACAGCCATCCCTCACTCCTTCGGTGAGCCGGGCCAGAATATCGAGGCCATTGAGGGAGGCCTCCTGGAGGCAGCCTCGAAGTGGGCGGCTGGCCCCAGCCAGGTAGGATAGCTGCAGGCTCCCGGTCCCTCCCACAAAAACGCCATAGGAGGCCTCAAGGGGAGCGTCAGCAGCAGTAGCAGAGGAATTGAAGAGGTCATCAACTGTGAGGGAGACCTGGCCATTTGTCAACATCACCTCCACATCATGGGTCCCCAAATCATTGAGCGGCATCTCTTCAGGGGACTGCAGAAAGGTCTCTTCATTTCCCTGAACTAGTTGGATCTGCAGGGGGAGAAGGTAGAGTGAGGAATAGGGTCAGGACCCACAGGCAACCTCCAAGGCCTTATTCACTACCCAAATGGGAGCCTGGGCAAATGGACCTGCCTCTATTAGAGACATCCCTGGGAAGTGGGAAGGGGAAGAATTACAACCCAGTCCTTCAAGAGCCTGTTTTTTTTTTTTTTATTGGCGGGGACAGACCCTCCTCTGATGCAGGTTACAACACCTCTACAGACTGGTAATGGCAAATATCTTTTCGAAGTTTGGACCTGGGATTTCACTGGTGGAGGGAACGTCCTTCCACCAATACAAGTCAATACCTGCTCAGCAACTTATAAGTCTTAGAGAGTTCCCTGGGGCAATGAGAAGTTAGGTGACCTACCTAGGGTCACACAGCCAGTACGGGTCAGAGATAGGACTGGAACCCAGGCCTTCTTATCTCTGAATCCAGCCCTCTATTCACTATACCATGCTCCTTCTTAATAATAATCATAGTGAGTGTCTACAGCAGTTTGAGGTTTACAAAATGCTTTACAGATACCTCATTCAAGCCTTAATAACATCTCTATGGGATCAGTGTTCTAATTATCCCCATTTTACAACTGAGAAAACTTAGGCACAGAGAAGATAAGTGACTTTCCCAGGGTCCCAAAGCTGGCGTGTGTCTGTGTGGTTGAACTCAGGTTTTCCTGGCTCCTGGTCTTACATCCTACCGCTCCACAATGCCTCACTTCCTAGTTCCTTAGAGTGGCTTTGGGCAAAACTTTAATCTCCCTACAACTAACCTGGGGATGAGCCTCTAGGACCTGAGGTGGAGCCTGTTCTTGGATAGCAGATACAAAGTCTCTAGCTTGGGCTTTTCCCCGGGCAGGGTCTGCCAGAACTTGGCTAAGTTGGTAGAGCTTTTGTGAACCGAGGCGCAGCTCGGTGTCAGAGAAGGGCTGTGGGGGAGGGATAGAGGAGGGAGTATCAGGGTTAAGGCAGGGATGTTTATTTCCACTTTTCTATAGGAAGATTGGGAATCTCTGAGACATAAAGGTACTTGTTGAACATCACTGAGCTGACTGATGGCAGGGCCACGACTTTCTGACTCCCATTCCTGCCCCCTTCCTAGTGCAAGGCCGATTCTCCAGGCTTTTAGGCACCAGGGATCAGCCATGATTTCTTGGATCCTGCAGTTGGAGAGATGTTCCTCAGGCAAGAGCAGAACAGAGAGTGGGGATACTGACCTGCAGGCTGCCAGAACGCAGTTCCACTAGGAGGTGGTCCGTTGGGCCAGCTAGCAGGAGGAGAAAGGCATCTGATTGGGTGGTGAAGAACTGGAACTTGATGTGAATCTCACTCAGGGCTTCATCTAGGGGCATCTCCAGGTGATTCTCTCCGAAGAAGGAAGCTGCAGAGGGTGAAAGGTTAGATATGGGTCAGGCTGGATCCTTCCTGGGGATCCTGGGGCATTCAGACTGCTAGAATATTAGAACTAGAAGAGGCCTTACTCAGAATCCATCTTTGAACCATTCCTAGGACATGGGAATGTTTAGCTTAGAAAAGAGAAAACAATAGCATGTAGAAGGGACATGACACTTGCTCTACCCATCCCCACTGGGCAGCTGCCAAATAGCTCAATCTAGGGCACAAAACCCCCAACAACTTCCTAACAAGTAATGCTCTCCAAAAGCAGAATGTTTTGTTGCAACAGATAGTGAGTTCTCCATCACTGGTGGTCTTCAAGCAGTCTGGAAGACTTCTTGTCAGGGATGCTCATGCAGGGATGAGACTCGGTCAACCGATTCTCTTCCAGTTTTGAGATTCCGAATGTGAATGAGCTTAGGACTGCATGTGCCTCGGCACACACTCATCTTCTTCCTCTCAGGCCTTGGAGCTCCCACTGCTAGGAGCTGGCTTCTCCAAAGCCTTTGCCATTGGTTTGGGTAGAAAGTTGGCCTGAGTTATCTGAACAATAGACCCCAGAGAGTATTACAAAGCTGTTAATGAGTCTGCTTAATGCTCGGTTCTGGAGAGAATTTCCTTGTCATGTGAAGTGATTTCCTGTTATTGAGTGATTTAAGGATCCCCTGATGAGTAAGCAGACCCATGCAGATTTTTTTTCCTGATTGCACCAAGGAGAAAAGCTAGGTCTCAACTGCCTTCTGGACTGAGGAGAGAAGCCAGGATTTGGCATTCCACATACAGCTGTGGATTGGGTCTAGGTGGCTGTAGTCTTCCCTGGTACCCTCCCTCACCTCTCCAAGCAGTCTGTGCTTCTCCCCCTGGTTTAAGTTGCCACCTCTTCCGGGATGTCTGCCCTGATTAACTCCATTCTCTCTCTCTCTCTCTCTCTTCTCTCTCTCTCTCTCTCTCTGTCTCTGTCTCTCTCTCTGTCTCTCTGTCTCTCTCTCTCTCTCTCTCTCTCTCTCTCTCTCTCTCTCTCTCTCTCTCTCTCTCTCCTCTGCCCCCTGCCTAGGGTCTGGCATCCATTTAATCCATGATTCCAGTACTTTTTGGTCTTAACCACTCAGTCTATTGCTTTAAAATATATTATCTGCTGCCTCTGAGTCATCTCAGTCATCCTGTTCCTGGAGGCAATTGTGGTACCATGAAAAGGAGGCTGGATATGCAGCTGGAGGACCTGGGTTCAAATCTAACATTTGCCACTCACTCATTACCGGCGTGATCTTAGGCAAAGCACTTTACTTCTCTAGCTACTTGGCTGCCCCTCCATTCTCTCTTCAACCCAATAATACCTCTTGCTCATCTGTGCAGTGAGCACATAAGGGCTCCCAACCAGGGCATTTTGTAGATTGTGTGCCTACCTGATGATATTGATTTGCATGCTTTTCTCTCTTGTCTCCTTCCAAATCAGATTATGTTGATCAATAATAATAGGTAGCATGTATATGATGTTTTATGGCTTACAAAGTGCTTTATATATATTTTGTTGTTCAGTTGTTTCAGTCATGTCTGACTCTTTGGGAACCCATTTGGGGTTTTCAGACACTGGAGAGGTTTTGTCATTTCCTTCTCAACTTATTTTACAGATGAAGAAATGGAGGCAAACAGGTTTAAGTGACTTGTCCAGGGTCACACAGCTAGTTAGTGTCTGAACTCTAATCTTATTTCTTCCAAGTCCGAGTTTGAACTCAGGTCTTCCTGAGTCTTGGCCCTACTCTCTATCCACTGCACCATCTAGCTGCTCTTTATGTATTTTACCTCATCTAATCCTCACAACAACCCTGTGTGGTAGGTGCCATCATGATCATGCCCATTTTATGGATGAAGAAACAGAAGTTAAGAAAGTTTAGTGACTTGGCCAGAATCGCCCAGCTACTAAGCATCTGAGCTCTAGTCTTCTTTACTCCAAGTCCACTGCTCTTACCATTGAGAACCCTGGACAACTTTTATTTGTCACTCAAGCCTTACAGAGGCCTCACAGCATCTAGAAAATTCTCGCCAATAACTCATCTCTCTCTCTCTCTCCTCTCTCTCTCTCCCCCTCCCTCCTCCTCTCTCTCTTTCTCTCTCTGTCTCTCTCTGTCTCTGTCTCTCTGTCTCTCTGTCTCTCTGTCTCTGTCTCTGTCTCTGTCTCTGTCTCTGTCTCTCTCTCTCTCTCTCTCTCTCTCTCCCTCCTTTTCTCTCTCCTCTCTTTCTCTCTCTCTCTCTCCCCTCCCTCTTCTCCTCCCTCCCTCCCTCTCTCCTCTCTCTCTCTCTCTCTCTCTTTTCTCTCTCTCTCTCTCTCTCGTCCTCCTTTTCTCTCTCCTCTCTTCTCCTCTCTCTCTCTCCTCCTCCCTCTTCTCCCTCCCTCCCTCCCTCTCTCTCTCTCTCTCTCTCTCGTCCTCCTTTTCTCTCTCCTCTCTTCTCCTCTCTCTCTCTCCCCCTCCCTCTTTCTCTCTCCCTCCCTCTCTCTCCCTCCTTCTCTCTCTCTCTCTCTCTCTCTCTCCTCCTCCCTCCTCTCTCCTCTCTCTCTCCCCCTCCCTCCTCTCTCTCTCTTTGTCTCTCTCTGTCTCTCTCTCTCTCTCTCTCTCTGTCTCTCTCTCTGTCTCTCTGTCTCTCTCTCTCTCTCCTCTGCCCCCTGCCTAGGGTCTGGCATCCATTTAATCTATGATTCCAGTATTTTTTGGTCTTAACCACTCAGTCTATTGCTTTAAAAAATATCATCTGCTGCCTCTGAGTCATCTCAGTCATCCTGTTCCTGGAGGCAATTGTGGTACCATGAAAAGGAGGCTGGATATGCAGCTGGAGGACCTGGGTTCAAATCTAACATCTGCCACTCACTCATTACTGGTGTGATCTTAGGCAAAGCATTTTTCTTCTCTAGGCCTCAGTTTCCTCATGTGTAAAAACAAGGGTGGGGTGGAACTGGGTAACCTTGGTTGGCTGTTCATGGGATAAATGCTTTTTTGGCCACAGTCACTCATTTAACTGCTTATTGAGACACAAACATCTGTGGAAGAGAAGCTTGTACCATGGAAGTGGCAGGATTTGAATATGGAGCCTTGCATTGCTGTGTATGTTTCTCTTGTCTCCCTCTATTAAGACTGTGTAAGGACCCTGTCTAAATTTCACTCTGGGTCCTCACTTAGTGACCGACTGAAATGGTGGGGTTAAAATGGAGATTTTCCTACTTGAAGGAGGAGGTAAACTGTGGTAATCATTTCTGATAATGAGGAGGATAAGAAGATGTTCTTACAGCTAGGCTGGCTTTCTGCCCAGGCAGAAAGCCACATGATCCCTACCTGCAGCCTTAGCCCTGTGACCAATCTATCCTTTGGGCAGAGGGAAATACTGGGTGTGGTCTGGATATGAGTTGAGTGAGGTCCCTTCCTGCTCTAAATCTTTGATCTGTGATCTTATGATTGGATGGCCCTGAATTCAGATCCTGGCTTATGCCCTGTGGCTTTAGACAAGTCACTCAACCTTTCTGATTGTCAGTCCTCCTTATCTATAAAATAAGGGGCTCAATTACATAACTTCTGCGGTCCCTTGCAATTTTAAAGCTGCAGCTCTCACTTTTTTTTCCATTCTCCTTTGCTATTTTATTTTCTTTTGCCTGCCCTCATGTATCGGTGTCCTTTAGTACTCCTCCCCACCAAGACTATTCTTGGTCCTCTTCTCTTCTTTCTCCGTAGTCTTGCCCTTGGCAATCTCCTTTTCCATGAACTATTAAGTCTTTGCAGATGATGCCCAAATTCAGCCTGGCATCTCTACATTTCTCGCTCCTCACTGGATATCTTCATCTGTCGACATCCTTCCTGCCAACATCTCAGTCAACGTGTCCCAGAACAAATTCGTAATCCTCTCCCTCAATCCTTCTCCTATTCCAATCTCCCTTTATCTGTTAATGGCACAGCTATTCTCCTAGTTATTTTGACTGGGAACATTGGAGCCATTTACGAATCATTTGTTAAGTCCTAGTTGATTTTACCTTCCCAATATCTCTCATATCTGTCTCCTTTTTCCCCATTCATACTGCAGCCACCCTAGTTCAGTTTCTCATCATCTTTCTTCTTGTCTTCTCATTGGTTTTCTTCCCTTTAGTCTCTGTAATCTCCTCCAATCCATGCCTCACGCCACTGCTAAAATAATCTTCCCAATTCAAAGGTTTGAGTGCTACTACTCCCTTGCTCAAAAATCTTCAGCAGCAATTTATTGTCTATAGGATCAAAGAAAACTCTTTATCTTGGTATTTAAGACTTTCCACAATCTGAATCCAACATACTTTTTCTTTTTAAAAACATTTAAAAATTAATGTAATGGGTGTTTGACAAATGCCCCAGATCACCTTAGATGGAGGTACTCACGTGGAAAACACTGAGGACCTGCTCCATGAGGATTTGGAGAACTGGTGTGCATGGGTGAATATTCTGGTTGGCCTACCTTGTGGTTGGGAGCAGTCTTTTTCTATTAGTTGCTTAGCTGGAACTATTTGTTTCTTTATAAAACTACTTGTCTAAAGCATTCTCTTCCCTTGAATTCTAGTCCAGTGGGAAGGACTCATTCATTCATACCCACCCCTTCCTCTTGCCCCACCCCCACCCTTCAGCCATGTAGACCTGGGAAATGGGCTTAGGGTTTTAGTCTTCTCTCATTTGTCCTTTTCTTTCTATGTGCAGGGAGGGCCGTCCCTGAGCCTGGAGCTGGAGCCATGGGGGTACTGGATATTGGTATTCCAGGCCAAATGTTGCACCCAACCCTGCAGGGAAAAGCTAGTTCAGTGGAGCTTCGGACTGGAACTTGATGAGACCAATGCTATGTAGGAGTCGAGTTAAGCCTTGAGTCTAATCCCCTTCTCCCCAGAGACTGAGGTGCTATTGGGGGGGATTATGCGCCCAAGATAGAATTTTGTTCTTGTTCTGCCTTTGCAGTAAATATTCCTCTGTCAAAGTCAATGCATGTTAA